CTGGCTGACCCGTTTGAAGGTGATGCTTTATCTTCTCCTTTTTATCAACCATGAGGTGTGTTCTTTTTCAGGATGTCCCCTAAAAATCCCGCGTTTCCCTACATGTCATGGCTGTTGGGAAACAGATTACACTTTTGCTCATTGTGGTTTAGTGGTTGAAATCCAACCACTTCACTGCTACAAACAAATATATTGTAGAAATCCCCACTTAACTGCTTAAAAAAAAACGGTTTTTGTTGCTCCCCTTCCAACATGAACCAAGATTTGGGCATGGCTTCTCCGGTTTTCTCTCTTCAGCCACCATGGGCCCATGGTGCCAGGAGGTGTCCGGGAAGCCCATCGATAAGATGATGAGCTCCTGGACGCAGCAGATGGGCTTTCCTGTGCTGGAGGCGCGGCAACCGGCAACAGCCTGAAGTTTTGAAGGCGAAAAAAACCGAAAGGGGATCCCGAGATGGGCGAAGAAAAACGTGGGCCCCTTGATACGCATGTCCTCCTGGAGAGAGGTTTTGCATGTGTTTTTTTTAGAAAAAATGGGGGGGGGGCCGTTGTGTGAGGGTCTCTGAACGCCCACTGGAATCCACTCTTGGTTCTTTCTTTGCTTCTTTGGCTTCCCTACACAGGTAATGCCAGGAAGGGTTGCAAACAAAGGCAAACTTGGGTTGGATGAAACCCCTTAGTTTGTTTTGTGTTTTTTTCAGACAGCCAGTGCAAGGGTTCTGAAGGGAGGTTTGACTGTGGCACAAAGGACTTTGCATCTGGCAGAGGCTCATTGTGGAAATGGGCGGCTTACGTACCCCAGAGCTCCAGTGCTGCAATTGGGGCCGTAGCAAACAAAAAGCCTTTGTTTCCCATAGCCACTGTAAACCTGAACACGTGTCATCAGCTGAATCGGGACTCACTTTGACACATGGCAACCAACTTGCAGGTCTCAAAACCGTCGACCCGTTTTGATGAGCTGGTTGGCAACAGAAGGCCATCCTGAGCACGGTGCCGTTCGGGCCGAGTTTAGACAAAACTAGTTCTGAATGCGAACGAACTTGACGCCAATCAAAAGCATTTTGAGAAAGACAGAGTTGGACACCAAAGGTGCTCCCAAACCAGCCGCAAGTTGGACAATACGCTGATTCACTGATTTGAAACTGCGGGAAGCTTGAAGGGAACCTGGCCTTTGGAGACTCGATGGCTGAAGAGCCACGTAGGTTCGCATAGCTTCAAGAGGTCCGCTGGCTTCTACCCTGGCTCCCTTGCGGATTGTCTTCAAGGGAAGTTCAACTAGTCACCCGCCCAACTAACATGGATCCCACTTCAGGGTTCCCAGAAGGCTCCCTTCAAGTTCCGTCAGGACCTTGTTTCGGGGATGCAGTGAATGTTCAAGGCTGAGTGATTGGAAGATACACGAAATGGAGCCGGCAAAGGCAGGCTGACGTGCTTTGGGCAGCTGTCAGTCACTTCCAGATTTCCAGGATGCGTTGTGTTGTTGCAGCTGACGTGAAGCGCATCGGCTGCTCTTCGGATTGACCAACTAGTCTCGAGCTACAGGGTACTTTTGGAAAGGTGTTTGAATTGCTTGCTGGTTCTCAGCAGGGAATGAGGGAATGACTCCTTCAAACAATCCCCTATGGTTTCCTTTAAGGCAATCCCATTCTGGAAACCCAGACTCGTTCTTTCCCTACCTATCGCACCAGCAAGATTGGACAAATCCAAGAAAGCCTCCCCAAAGAGGGTTATGGTAGCGCGTTGTATGTAAAAATAATAATATATATATATATATAATGTATATATATATATATGTATATATATATATATATATTTATACACATATATGTCTATTTACATACACAAAAATACACGTGTCTAAATGTATGCAGAAAGTCGAAAGGTGGGCCCTGGATGGGGGAGTGACCATATTAACATGTATACAACAAACATCTGCAAAGACCTACATATGTATTCATGCGCATCTTTTCGAGTACCACTCGCGTCCAGGTTCAGAACGACCCCTTCGCCGGGGGCTCCTTGGAGCTGAAGCAGCGCTGGTTCCTGGCGGACGGGTCCAGCGAGCCGGGGGACGACCAGAAGGCGCCGCCACCGCCCGCCACCTTACCCGGCCGGGTGGGTCCCAAAATCCGGAGCTGTAGTTGGCCCGAAATCAGCTTGGCGTCCCTTCATTTTTTGTGGGGCATTTTGTGGGGTGTGGGGGAAGGGGGGGGGAAGGGGGAGGCAGTTTGGATGGGGATGGGCCCTCACCCAGAACTTCTGTGATACTTTTGGGAAAACCCTCTGTTATATTGGGGTGTTTGTCTTTAGGAAAACCCTTTCTGTTGTATCACAGTGCTAAAAAAGCCCCGCTCAGCGGGATGAAGCTTGTGATTGGGGGATTATAACCCAGGTGGTTAACCACTTACTTGGGCGACCATCCAAGTAGGTTACCAAAGCAGTGGTTTTCCAAGAGGGATGACCAAAGCAGTGGTTTTCCAAGAAAGATGGAATTGGGAGTGGAATTGGCCTACGCTCCATGTTGAACTTCTCAGCTGGCAACTACCCACCTCTCTTGCATCTAGCCCCCCTTATCTTTTGTCAGGTTTGGAATTAGTGTAAAGGGTCCAGAATGTGTGTGTGTGTGTGTGAGTGTGTACTGTGTGTGTTTTTTTTTTCAGTTGTTTGTTTGTTTTAAAGTTGGTTTGGGAAGCCAAAAGGCAACCATTTCGGAGATCGCTACAATATTTGGGGGTGGCATCCCACTTTGCAGGGTGGTTTGAGCGACAGATGATCGTGCCACATGTTGGACCAGGCCCATTCTTTCTCTTCACCAGCCCAAATTTCTATCCTTGTGGTTGGGGGGTGTTTTGCGGTTTTTATCCTTGTGCTTGTTGGGGGGGGGGGGTTGTCCTAACCCTGGATTCTTGGCTTGCAATGTGCGGATCCCCTGTTTCACGCATGCATTCCTTTTGGAACCCAAAAGCAACTCTTTTGTCGCGACCTCACGAAATCCTGCACCTAAGAATCCATGGAAAACACTAGTTTGTTGCTATCTACGTTGGGGAATCATCAGAAACCCGCGTTTCTGAACGGTGGTGCAAGAAGCGGATGACTCGCAAACCATCCACAGTAGCAACCCAACAACCTCTTTCCTTTCTTCCATTTGATTAAGAATATGTTTTTTGGTTTTCCCCTGTTGGTTTTAAATGTATCGCTACCGGAAACATTTTTTCCAGGGGACTTAAGCAAATTCAGGAAGAGAATGGCCTGGCCCAATTTGGATGAAAATCTTTGGGTAAATCAGCAAACAAGTGTGGTTCTACGAACCCAACCAGTGTTTCCTGGCCAGGGCTACAGTATTCCAGGAAAGCCGAAAGGCAAATGGATCCCGTTTTTTTTTTTCCTCCGCCAGGTCTGGTTCTGCCCGGTGCTGGTGGGCACGGAGAAGGGCGCCCAGCCTGTGAGCTTCTTGGAGCAGCAGAGCGGCAAAGTGGACTGCAAGCGCCTCGGAGCAAAAATCAAAAATCCCTTTGCAAGTCGAGTCGACTCGAGTCGAGTCGAGCGGATTGTGTATGGTGCGAAGAGAGAGACGTCCAGTGGCTGAGCTGCTTTTTGTTTTGTTTGCTTGTTTTTTGTTTTTTTATTCTTTTTGCTTCCGTGATTATGATGAGTTTCCCGGCTGGTTGGTTTTAACGGGAATCTGTAACCACTGGAAATCATTGTACGTTTCTCCAGGGGACTTAAGCGGATAGGATACGTGTTGGGTTTATCTAAATCTAAAATGGTAGACATACAAGTTCAAGCTTTGGGCGATTCACTCAAACATCTATTATTTGCAAGCATCGTTCTTTCCAAAAACCGGCCGTTTTCCCTGGGTTTCGGGAGGTTTTTCCAGAAAGAAGGATCCCTGGAAAAGAAGGGGGGAGTTACCCCTAGAAAGACTGGTTTTGCGCTCCCCTGAAACCGCCATGAAACCTTTAGAGGCCAGTTTCATGGCCCAGAATGGCCACGTTGAACCTAGATGGACTTTGCGGGTGTCCATTTGGCTTGTTTCGAAAGGGTGTTTGTATACCATGAAAAATGACAGTGGTACTTGTCATTCGGCCTTGTGTTTGGCACCTGAAGCTTGGTCCTTCTTTTCCGTCTTCCTTGGTTGGTGATGCTGTGCATGGACGAGCTTCATTTCGCACCTCTTCTCAACTTGATGATCATCTGCAAAAGGAAACCAACAAAAGGCCAACCCAAACTGACGTTTGATTAAACTAATTACTACGAAACGATGAGATACATTCACCAGTCATGCCATGTCACGACCATTCCCGTAAAAAACCCATGGGTTGAACAAGCACGCCAACTGCGGATGGGCAAAAACCATTTTGCACCACCCAACAAACCCCGGTTTCCGATGGTTCCCTGAAAATGCCAACAAAAAATGGTGGTTTCAAAGCGGTGCGAAAGGCGAGTCCCGTTTCGCAGGCCCTGGTGTCATCCCATCGTTCGATCGTTCGATCAATGCTTTGTCTTGCTCTGTGTGTTGCTTTATGTGTTTAGTGTGTTGTTTGGTCTGCTTTGTTTTTGTTTCGTGTGTGTTCTTGCTGTGATTTGTTGTGTTTTGTTTTGTTGTGGGTGTGTTGTCTTTTTCTGATGTACTGTATGTTTGTTGCTTGGTTTGATGTGTTTTGTTTCGTTTGTCAATTGTGTTTAGTCTTGTTGTATGTTGGTTGTCTTTGTTTGTGCGTTTTGTTTCGTCTCATTGTTTGTTTCCTTACTTTCTTGCTACAGTGCTGGTTTGTTCATGTTCTTGCTTGCGTGCTTGCTTGCGTGCTTGCTCTTGCTTGCTCTTGCTTGCTTGCTTGCTTGCTTGCTTCCTTCCTTCCTTCCTTCCTTCCCGCCTTCCTGCCTTCCTGCCTTCCTGCCTTCCTGCCTTTCTTGTTTGTTTGTTTGTTTGTTTTTTGGTGCGTGTTTGCTTGTTTGTGTGTTTGTAACGTGTTTTGTGCGTGTATGTTGTTTTGTAGGGTTTGCTTTTTTAGCTTTGCTTAGTGTGGCGTTGTTAGGCTTTGTTTGGTGTTGTTTGTTTGTTTGTTTGTTTGTTTGATTGTTTGCTTGTTTGCTTGTTTGTTTGGTTGTTTGTTTGTTTGTTTGTTTGTTTGTTTGTTAGTTTTTGTTGTGTTTGTTTGTCTAACTGTTTGTTTGTTTGTTTGTTTGTTTTTTGTTTGTTTGTTTGTTTGTTTGTTTTTGTGTGTGGGCTTTGCTTCCTTTTTCCTTTATGTCCTTGAGTATTTCTTTCTTTCTGTCTTTCTCTCCTTATTGTTGTGTTCCTTTCTGTCTACATGTTTGTTGATTTCTTTCTTTCTGTTTGCTTGTCGGGTTGTTTGTCCGGTTGCTGGTGTGGATTGTTGTGTTTTGTGTGTGTGTGTTGCCGTGTTTGTCATTGGAAGTTCTAGGGGTTGATTCCAATTCCATCCTTTTCAACCATCGTCCTTTTCAAAAACCGGCTGCTTCTTTTGGGTTTTGCATGGTTTCCTGAAAAGATCCGGATCCCTGGAAAGAATTCGGAAATGGAAGGTAGCCCTAGAGAAGTACTTGTTTTTCTCCTTTTTTTTTTTTTCGCAGTGGATTTTCTCAGGCTGGATGGATGCCAGATGCTGAAGGTGAACTTTGGTCAGCACGTGCCGCTGCGGGTTTTGTACCCGGAGCCGCTCTTCAAACGGTTGGTGCAGAACTTGAAAAGTCTGCCGGCAGAGGACAGGATCGGCCCTTTGTCCTGAGATGGGGTGGGATGGGGGGGTGGCACGGACCTGATATCTGCGGACTCAGAAACCTCACTTCTTGAGTTGGACTCTACAGTCACTTTTTAGGGTTGGACCTTTGTTGTGGTAGAAAGTTGGGGAGCTTTTTTTCAGACTAGTCCCCTCAGCAAGTAAAGAAAGTGTTTGGCAGCAAACAGTTTGGACTTTTCTTGGGCCAATCTACTTCGGAAGTGAGTTTGTCGGAGTTAGCAATCCTTTTTGGGTTCCTCTGAAATCAGTCCAAGAATTACCACTTTCCTTGTTCAAGTTCTTGTGGGTTCCCCTTTCGAGTCCACCAAAGAGAGTTCCTGCCCCCATTCTAATCAGCCAACCAAAGCCGCAGATGCTTTTGTTCTGCCACATGTTTCACGATCCCGCTGTCTCAAAACCTGGTTGTGAAGTTCCGGGGGCGGTGTCTTCTTTGCCACCTGCATCTTGCGCTTTGACTGGCTCCAGCTCACTCTCAGAGCTGCACAATCATTCTCATAAATGTGCTTGATCCATGCGAGAAGCATAGGAAGCATAGGAAGAAATAATAAAAAGGCCGGGTTTGGCCTCTGAACAGCTATGTCAAAAAGAGTCATCAACAGTGGCCTTTGCAATCGCATTGGGAATCGCCGAGCCATGCTGCGCCTGGCGGTAAGAAGAAAGCGCTCAAGTGGGATTCGAAGTGACGAAGAGAAAGTCAGAGGGAGCTCCCAGGTGTCGGACAAGCTCCCCGAGCTCTACGTCACTTTGGTGCATTTTGCTTGGATGTTAGGACTTTGACTTTTTGGCAACGAATGGGTTTTCCATTAAACCACTAAAAGTTACAGTACACTTTTAGCAGGGGAGCAGAAAGCAACCGAGGTCATTTGTGACTCCAAGGCCAAGGGGGTGATCCGACATGCTAGCCAAGCGTTCCAAGACTTCTTTGGCTGGGCCGACTGTGGCCAACAGCTCTTTAGCCCAGCAACTTTGCTCCAGTCCGACAAGCTGAAGCAGATCTCCCATGAGGCTGGGCTTAGCGGTGATGAGCTTGCGAAGAGCCTCCACCGAATGGCTCAGGCAGCAGAGGAGGCTGTGCAAAGCACAGCTTCTGGCACAACGCAAATGCCAGTTCTGCTACTAAGTCATTACACCAGCGGAGAACTATTCGTGTGTCGGACTTGCTGGCAAAAGAATGTGCACCCAACCTTGGGTTGGTCTTATTACGTGGGGGTGGTGCAAAACCTTTCGGCCATTTCTGTATGCCGCCTGGTGGCAGCTGCTTGCAAGGAAGCAACTTATGCGGAGCTTTGCACAGAGGCTGAGACAGCTTCAGATGTGGGATTGCTCTCCCAAAGGCTTGCTTCTGATGAGGCACTGCATGCCGCGGCCGAGAAGATGTGGAAGGCTGAACTGGCGAAAGGCGTCAAGCCGTCCGGATCGAAGAAGAGGGAAGCAGACACGAGCTCCATTTGGAGTCGAAGTACAGCCTCAACTATCAGCTCTAAGGATCGAAAGCATGCCAAAGTGGATGATCGACCACTTGCATCGCATCATTTTGGGGCTCTTCTTGGCATGTCGCCCAGCGAGGACAGCGAGAAATGCGAGAAAAGTGAGAAAAGTGAGAAGCTGAAGGAGGAATCACCTGAACCACCTGAAGTGATTGAACCCGCTCAGCTGCCGACGGCCGAGGCATTTGAATCAGCTTCAGAGGATGAGTTCCAGGAGTGTGAAGCAATGTCCCAAAGCTCCGACAGTCCGC